AAAAGGAAAAGCCCTAGCATCTAGCTAACATAGTGGAGGATTTAGCAGCTAGAGAACCACATATTTCCATCAAGATGTCCATTTGGGACATTTATTAACATTTTTGCATTTGGTTGTATAACACATAAGCCGGGCCCTAAAATTTGCCTTCATACTTAAACCTACAAACCTGACGTGTGCAAAAGGATGAGGATTGAGCAGTGTTGGGCTACTCAAAAAAAATTACTACATTACTCGTTTAAAAGTAATATTATCACTTTATTTATTACTCCCTGCCAGCAGTTATTAGTTGCACTACTAGTTATACTGTTATATTTATTTTCTGCTATTTTGGTAATTGTGCCCTTTCTCCCCAAAATTCAGACTCACACTAGTCCAAAATCCAAAGTCTAAAATCCAGTTTTGTTTGTTAAAATCTAAGTAATGAGAATATTTTTCCATCTTCCAAACAAGTTTCTTCCACAATTACAAAAATAAATAAAAGGATGTTATTGGATTGTTGGATTTCTGATCAGTAGACAGGGGGGGGATAACTGTATTATTATTACATTAATTAGTTACACTACTATTTTCTGGGTAAAGTAATATTATTAATGTAATATAATTACTTGTAATGAGTTACTACCCAACATTGGTTATGAGTAGTTTTAATCACATGCAGTCAAGTGAGTAACTATAGTTACTATCGCCTGTGAGGTGTGTTTTTTACGACATTGTGGTGTGCAAGGTTGGATTTGGTATTCCCCTTTGTGTTATAGTTGCCCCTATAAATTCTTTATACACAGTCCTCTGTCAGAGAGCTGCAGAGAGCTCAGCAGAAGACGTTTCGATTTTACTCCCAGCTGTGTGCCACAATGCCACATTACTGCAGGGATGGTTTGGTGATCTCTGGAATGTCTGTCCTTTGACCTATTGATGTTTGTCTGTTGCATGTGATATTATACTGATGTGTATTTTGTTTGTGTTAACCATTTAACATTCCAACAGGTTGTTTAAATTGGCATTATTTGAACTTTATATCACAGTTTAGTCATTGATGAGTTTGAGATTTTGGACTTGTCTTTAGAGCTAAACAAATTGTGGCAGTGTTTAAAACCGTTGTATATTTGAGAAATATATGGCAGCCAATAACTCTCTGACTGACGGTGAATCCTCAAAGTACAAGATCAATGATCGGGTCATTTTAGTTCAGGTTTTCGTGGCAGTTTTTCTTTGCGTCAACTTTTGGCTGATCACAACTTTTTTCATGAAGGAATCCTTCTACACTACCATGCGCTATATCTTTTTTGCTGTTACACTGCTATCTGACAGTCTGTTTTTGCTCATGACTGATACCCTGCTCATTTTAAGCTATTTTCGGTTTACAATACAAATGTGGTTGTGTGTTATTATATATATTGTTTTGTCTGTGTACACATTTGTCACACCAGTTGCTCTGACGGCAATGACCCTGGAGCGCTACGTGGCCATTTGCATGCCCCTGCGGCACACAGAGCTGTGCTCCACACGCAGCTCTCTGCGCTTTGTGCTCATCATTCACGGCCTCAGCTCTGTACCCTGCATTGTTATTCTCTCTGCCTTCTTTGCATCAGCAACCCACAGCTTCTATACTCAGGCCAGAATATGCTCTGTGGAAATGTTCATCTTTCACAGTTGGCAGGGTCATCTTAGATCAGCTATAAGTCAATTTTACTTTTTAATTATGTGTATCACAATTATATTCTCTTATGTTAAAATAATGAAGGTGGCCAAAGCTGCATCAGGAGA